CAAGGTTTCTACTGGCCCTCTCCTCGGACACATCATGGAGGGCAAGTAAAATAAACCAGCCAAAGTACAATAACCCAGCCAGTATCATGATTTCCAGAAGCAACTAATAAATGTTCTACATGCTTCACCCTCATTAAACTTGCACTTTCACAAAATATGATTCTTAAAGATAATGCGATAAAAAGCCATTTTCACCCATTAAACCTAAGATATAAACATAAAGACAATTTAACACTCTTCAATAGTTTCTTAACAAGCCTCTCAAGCATCTTCGATGAAAACCATAAAAGCAAGAAACACTTCATCAGCATAGACAAAAGCATCAAACTACAAGATATAATTGCAAGCAAACGTTTTGAGCACCGATTGAATCAAACAAAAAGGGAAAGAGCAAAGACCAAAAGCATGAACGTAGTAATAGACAGTAAAAAGCTAATAAAATTTCATGCTGCATCAACTATAAGCTTAAGATGATTCGGTACCTCCCCACTTTTCAGGATCCAATTGAAAAGCTTCTAATGCACGCTTTTGACATAAGGTCTCAGCCATGTCAATGTACCTAAGTAAGCAAAACATAAAGGTTTTATATCACATATTTTGTCCTGTAAAACTGGAAAGAAAACTAGTTGCAGAAAAGAAATGCCACGACATGAACCAATTATTTTAACAATTTTACTTTCACTTGAAAACAACTCCACAGAGCCTAAAATGCAAATATTTAAGGTAAAATTGATTAAATATTCACGTACTCATTTCCTCCATAATATCGAGCTCCAGGATACCCTTCACTGTATTTGTTAGTCATAACTGAACCAACAGCTTGAAGAACTGACACAGATGTGAAATTCTCAGAAGGAATAAGCTCAAGTCCCTAAACAGTCAAATACAAAACCAGCAATCACTACCTAACAGCAAAAACTAAGCGAAGAAGAAAGATTAAAAAAAAAAAAAAAAAGGGTTCGAAGAAGAAAGATTTAAAAAAAAAAAAAAAAAAAGGCGTTCAAAAAAAAAAAAAAAAAAAGGGTTCAAAAACGAGACTCATTAAATACACATAAAACATACAGACTCATTAAAAGAGCTCGACAAAATAGATGAATTAAATACACATACCTTCCATTGCCTTGCTTTTTCTAGTTCAATGATATCAGCAATTTCAGGATCGATTTCTTCGAGTGGAGCATTCAATTGCTTTATCCACTGAAACCAACAAATTATGGAAATAATTAAAACGCATTTAGATCTGCTACAGATCTTAATAGAGAAGCAAAGTGTGCTTATGGAAACTAAGCTATTATAGTGAATGCGGGAAGAAAAATGGCTTTACACTAGCACGAGCTTTCTCTTTCTCAGGAGCTAACGGATTAGGCAAAGAAGACTGCAAAATCAGATTTAGTAAAAGTTAATCAGATATAGAGAGAGAGTGGAGCAGCTAAGCTAGGCGCCTAAAATCAAGAGATGAAGAAAAGGAAGAGACCATGTCGTAAAGAGAACCGCCATTGAAATAAGGTATCATTGGCTTGTTGAGAGAGGAAGAGAGTCTTCGAAGAGCCATTGCCATTATCGTTTCTCTGCCTCTCTTTTTGTGTATGTGTGTTTGTTACTAAGTATACTCTGTTCTGCTTGCAAAGTTTTTTCACTTTGTATCGTGCGGTTTCTTGGTTGGTGTGACATAGTGTGGGGTTGGTGGCGATGGCACAACAAGTGGTTGATTTTGTCTGGATTTGAATTTAATTAATAAAAGTAGTAAAATATAATAAAAAGACAAAAACGCAAGTGCTATCCTGCAAATCTTAAAATTTGGGAGTTGGTTCGCGCCTTCGCGGACCACCGTGGGCGGTGTAACAAGCACATCAGACGTCACCATACAGTGGTTTTCCGCTTTAGGTTCTAGGCTTTGAGCAACCAGCAGTGGTTGTGGCCTAGCGATCTATGGGCGCCGGGCGGCCCTAGCCCAGTTTCGTAAAACTAAGATGGGCCGATCCCACCTATTTCATTAATGCAAACGACAGCCCGGTTGCTTAACGTGGTGGCAGGATTTTCAGGAACATTTAAAAATTAGCATATATGATAAGACAAAAAAGGCATTGCTAGAATTTATATTTATAAAAAATATGAATTATTAAATTTACTTCTTATCCCTAACTAATAGTCGTAATAAAATTTACTTCCTAATTAATGTTTTTTCTTTCCTTTCATTGATTCCATATAAATATAAATACAAATCTAAATATATTCAGAAAAAGGATTTAGTTAAGCTCATGCAATGTTTTTCTTGCCTTATTGTTTTTAATAATATATGCTTTTTTAAATAATATATATATATATATATATTAATATATATATATATATATATATATATATATTTATTTTCTTCAAAAGAAAATTGATGTTTGTAAATCTTATTTGCTTTTTCTATGCACAAGTTACTACAAAGTTAATTTGTGTTTTAATTATTATTATTATTAATATTTTTGAAGGTAAGTGGATGGATACATATATATATTTATTTCTTCAAAAGAAAATTGATGTTTGTATCTTATTTGCTTTTTCTATGCACAAGTACTACAAAGTAATTTGTGTTTTATTATTATTATTATTAATATTTTGAAGGTAAGTGGATGGATACTAGCATTCCAAATTCAAAGTTTGCAATACAAGATGAGAGGGATGGTAAAACCATTCACCCAGGCATGTCATAGAACGGGTTGCCCAAGCTAACAAATGAACTGCCTAGTTCTTAGAGCAATGCACAAACCTAAACTGAATTTCAGCATTAATCTCTTGCAAAAGAGATTTACAATCACTTATAAGAAGACCAAATGGAGATTAGAACTTGAATAGCATATTGAGCATCTGATTGGATTATGACACGAGGCCAGCACATTTTTGACCCAGCTAAGCACTTCCCTTATACCAGCAACCTCGGCTTCTTTGGAGAGTAAGAACCAGAAGATGCAAGTTCTTCGCAGCAACAAACATACCAGAAGAGTCACGACTATTCCAAATACACCGACAAACAATCATTGCACTGCTGAATCTAATCCATTAACAAATTAAAAACAGCAGCTAGCCATTCCAAAAAGGAGTTCACAGCAGGATAAAACCAACTAAGTGGAGAAGCTTGCCAAGTTGCCATACATATTTCGCATACTGACACTGAACAAGAATGTGAAGAACCAATTCTGAGTGGCCATGGCATAATGAGCAAATATCATTCATTGACAGGAACATGTTTAGTTTGCAATAAAGAGAGGCAAGAAGTTGCATTATTGTTGGAAGCTTCTCCATATAAAATTTTGAACTTTTGGAGGAATTTTCAGTTTCCAAAGTCTATATTTCCAAGTTGAACGAGTAGTAGAAGGCAATGTAAGAGCATTATTCAAAGTTAAATTAACGTTTTCAAACTTTTGGAGGAATTTGTGTTTTATTTTTACTTTGTCAAATTTATAAACTTCTAGAATTTTATCAAAATTATAGTAGTGAGATTTATTACATTTTATTGTTTATACTATATAAAAATTTTCATAATATTATTGAATATTTTCCATTTAATAATAATTAAACTTTACAAATAATTATATTTTTACTTAGTTAAAAAATAAAATTTTAATTTTAATTTTTAAAATTTATGAAATTATGTTAACATGAAAATTTGTTTATATATTATAAATAAGGTTTTAATATAAAGTTTTTCTTTTCTATAGTCCAAAAAATAAACAAATAACTTACCGTTTTTACTAAAACGACTTATCTTTTAAAAAATAATAGAAAAGCACTTAATTAACTGTGTTTAGTATAGAGAATTACAAAATGTTACTTATTTTAATGTTTGATGAAATATTTGAGTCTATTTTAGTATTTCTCTTGATAAATAGGGTAACTCATATAGACGATTAACAAAATTATAAGAACAAATTGTTTTAACCAAAGTAGCATATTTTTTCAATAGATGTTGTTTATTTTCACTCATCTCCCTTGAACTATAAACCTTGTCATGTCATCATATGTAGAATTCAATTTGTCACATAAAAATTCATAAACTATAATTAATGTAACAGAAAAAGAAAAAGAAGATTATTGATTTGCAAGCAAATCTCCACTAGAATGCTGAATGAATAGCACAATCATCAATTATTATAATAACTTTTCTTTTTGCCAAATAAGCATGCTTAATCAGTTTCATCTCTCTGTTATCAGTTGCATCATATATATAATACTGTGTTATAATTTTTACTAAATTGTTCATATAATTTATCTAAGCATCATTATATAGATAATTGACCTAATTGATTATAATTTGGTAAGAATTGCAATAAATAAAATATTAAAAAAAATATGCACTTGTCCACATAATTAAAGCTGTGGATTAACATAATATTATCTTGAGTTAGACGTGGCTCAATATGTAAAAGCTAAATTGTAATTACATTAGTAGTATATCTATAACTTCTAATGACATATTAAAAAATGAAAAAACAATTTCAAATTCAAATTTATATAAAGGAAACAAGATAAGGCAAAAATAAATAAATAAATAGAATAAAAGAGCGATAAAAAGGGATTTTAAAACAAAGAACAATCGAAAAGAAATATTTATCAAATAATTTTTTTTTGACATGGATAATAATTTTTTATTATTTTATAATTTTGCAACTCAATATTTTGTTATTGTAAAAAAAGTAAATCTTGTCAATTTTCTTAAAAATCAAATTAACACGGCAGAAAAAATAAAAATAACATCGTGCTAATTGGACCATTAAATAAAATATCTGTTGGATCTAATTAAATCAATAATTTAACTTTTATAGTAAAAATAGTCCAAATCCAGCTGTACAAAAGGTTAAAATTGAAAGTATCCTAAAGCATCACTTAATATTTCCTTGCGAGAACCCTTCTACACTAACCACCCAATTTAATGAAGATATTTCAAGGATGTTGACGTCTTTTTGTGATTGAATAGAAGGACAAAATAGTAATAAAAAAGTGATAATATTTTTAAAGGATAAAAATACATAAATTCATCCACTAATTTTACCATTTTACCATTTTTAATCCTGTAACATTTTGATCTTTTGTAAATCACTTCTATATATTTAAATTTGTAGATTTTAATAATTTTTCACTTTTTTTTAAATTGATAGTAATAATATTAATTTGATGTATAATTAATATAATTTTTGCAATTTTAATAATTATTTACTGTAATAGGTGTTTTTACAAATTAAAGTTTTCAACAAAATAATTATCCTAGTTAAAGCGTTAAAGTAATAGAATTGAGGGTGTTTTTTTCATTTTTAAATGAGAATTCAGGTTTGGCGTATCATCGACTGAGTCTATACTCTATAGTAGTGGAGTACTTCCCCTTCCCTCTATAAATATTTACGGTAAAGATTAAAAAACAAGTACGCGATTAGTATCTACGGAATCCCAACAAAACACGTTCTTTCAGCATTTCTTCTCTCCCTTCTCACTCCCTCACACAAATGAGAACTGCAGAGATAGAGGCGCCACCAAAGAAGATACTAACCAGCTATGGCGAAATAGAAGAAGAAGAGGTATCTCCAATAGAGGAAGTCCGTTTAACTGTACCAAACACCGACGACCCTACTCTTCCAGTATGGACTTTCAGGATGTGGTTTTTAGGCCTTTTCTCATGTTGTCTTCTTGCTTTCCTGAACCAATTCTTCGCTTATCGTACAGAGCCGCTCGTCATCACTCAAATCACTGTCCAGGTGGCAACTCTCCCTATCGGACGGTTCATGGCCGCTGTACTACCTAAAACTAAGTTCCAAATTCCTGGATTCGGGTCTAGAGAGTTTTCTCTTAATCCGGGACCGTTTAACGTGAAGGAGCATGTGTTGATTTCAATATTTGCTAATGCCGGTAGTGCATTTGGGAATGGTTCGGCTTATGCTGTTGGGATTGTTAACATTATTAAGGCGTTTTATAGAAGAAATATTTCGTTCGTAGCTGCTTGGATTCTTATAATTACAACGCAGGTCTCTTTTTTCATAACTTTTTCCCCTCTGTATTTAGCATTTGTGTGCAGTACAAATTTTTCCATTTTGGGTGTAATCTTGTCTGCTTTCTTTGATAAAATGTGCAGGTTTTGGGATATGGCTGGGCTGGACTCTTAAGAAAATACGTGGTAGAGCCTGCACATATGTGGTGGCCAGCCACGCTTGTTCAGATCTCCCTTTTCTCGTACGTTCTATATACATGTTCTGCAAATTTTGATTTATCTATTTGTGCTGTGATCTCATTGTCAAGGTCATTATAGTGGTGTATTGGTATGTGTCAATGTTGCTAAGAGAAGATTTTTGTCCTATGCTACCTTTGAAAACTTTCTCTTTTCTTGTTCCTTTCTTGGAAAACTCTCTTTTTCAAAATATAAATTAATCACACCAGAATTTTCACCCTTGGCACTAAACTTTTAGCTCCTTTTCAGCAAGATGGGGGCCAATAACAATTACATTTCTTGTACCTTCATTGACATACCCTCTTTTTTTCATTAAAACTGGCAGAACTTTTTTTTTTCTCACCTCATTTATTATTTTACTGACTATTAATTAATTTTTTCTAATAGCAAACTGATAATTTAAAGAATTAGTAAGTGTGTAAATTGTTTAATGATTTTATGCAATTTAAAATGTTTCACTTTTAGTGGGAGAGAGGGCAATTTACCGTCTCAAAAGTGATTCAAGCTTTCACCATAGTTTTGTCCCCATGATATCTTCTGGCCACATTTGTCTTTATGTAACCCGTCAACACCTTTCCTTGAAAAGCCAAACAATAGTTCTAAGCTCACACTTATTTCTGCACTTCTAAAAATTTATCTTTAGTGTTTATACCAATATTTTTTTTGATCATAGGGATGAATTCCTTTTTGGAAGTTTCTTAAGTTCCCACCTGTACTTCAGGCCAAGTCTTCGTTGTTTTTTTCATGTAATATAACCATTTTAATTTTCTGTTCTTGGCTTAACCATATTAACTTGATTTGTCTTACAGCAACTTTCTTATTATCCCGTTTAATGAACTGGCTAAATTACTTAATTTAAGTTATTTGAGATCAACTACAAAATCTAATTTGTTTTTTTAATTTGCAGGACATTGCATGAAAAAGGAGATCCCAGTAACGAGCATCGTATTTCTCGAGTGAAATTCTTTTTAATTGCACTAACGTGTAGCTTCATTTGGTACTTATTTCCTGGTTATTTGTTCCAGACATTACAAAGCCTTGCATGGGTATGCTGGGCTTTCCCAAAGTCAGTCACTGCCAATCAAATAGGGTCAGGCATGAGAGGACTAGGAATTGGAGCCTTGACACTAGACTGGTCAACAGTAGCTTCCTTCTTATACAGCCCTCTCTTAAGTCCTTTCTTTGTCGTTGTAAATGTTTTTGTTGGATATGTCTTGGTAATGTATGTGTTGACCCCAGTATGTTACTGGGGGATAAATCTATATGATGCCAAAACATATCCATTGTTTTCTTCTCACTTGTTCACTAAACAAGGTGAAAGGTATAACTTCACAGCAATTATTAATGAAAAATTCGAGTTGGATTTGGCACAATATGACAAGCAAGGCAGAGTGCATTTGAGTACCTTCTTTGCTACAACATATGGACTTGGATTTGCCACTATTGCAGCCACTCTCAGTCATGTTGTCTTGTTCTATGGAAGGTATGATAATAATTTTCTAAACCCATCAAGTAATTATTTAATGGCACTTAATTAATTTTCTTGTGGGAAATTAAATTTGTGTTCCAAATGTTTGCAGAGAAATTTATGGCCGATATAAAGAATCTAAACAGGGGAAGCAGGACATTCACACAAGATTAATGAAGCAGTACAAGGACATACCTGCTTGGTGGTTTTATCTGCTTCTTATAGTGTCAATGGTAGTCTCACTTTTACTGTGCATTTTCATGAAAAAGGATGTGCAAATGCCATGGTGGGGACTTCTATTTGGAGCTGCTCTTGCCTGGATTTTCACACTTCCTGTTAGTATTATCACTGCCACCACAAATCAGGTAATCAAAACCATTAAGTTATACTTAATTCCATAAATTCATCTTATTCTTAATAGATTTTAGCTAACTTTGTCAATGTAAACAGACCCCAGGCCTGAATATCATCACTGAGTATGTAATGGGAATAATATACCCTGGAAGGCCAATAGCCAATGTCTGCTTCAAAACCTATGGATACATGAGCATGGCTCAAGCAGTTTCATTTCTTAGTGATTTCAAGCTAGGCCATTACATGAAGATCCCTCCAAGATCCATGTTTCTTGTGCAGGTAACTTATAGAGTCGTCTTTAATACTATTGGATTACATAACCCAACCCGGTTAGAGTTTAATTAACACAACTAATAATTCCCCTTTCACTTTTGTTGTTTCAGTTCATTGGAACGATCATAGCCGGTACAATCAACCTGGGTGTGGCATGGTGGCTTTTAACAAGTATTGATCACATATGTCAGGATACTCTGCTTCCTTCAAATAGTCCTTGGACTTGCCCAAGTGACCAAGTCTTCTTTGACGCATCAGTCATATGGGGCTTAGTAGGACCTAGGAGGATTTTCGGTTCTCTTGGAGAATACCCTGCCCTTAACTGGTGCTTCTTGGGAGGATTCTTAGGACCAGTTATAGTATGGGTTTTTCACAAGGCATTTCCAAGCCAATCTTGGATACCTCTCATCAATCTTCCAGTACTTCTTGGAGCAACGGCTATGATGCCACCAGCATCATCAATTAACTACACTTCTTGGATTTTGATAGGAACAATCTTCAACTTCTTTATTTTCAGGTATAGGAAAGGCTGGTGGCAGAGGTATAATTATGTTCTATCAGCAGCTCTGGATGCTGGAGTTGCATTTATGGCAGTTCTTATTTACTTGACACTAGGCCTCGGAAATGTTAATATCCACTGGTGGGGAGCCGATCCTGACATTGATCCTGAGCATTGCCCTTTGGCCTCTTGCCCAACTGCGAAGGGTATAAATATTGATGGATGCCCAACTTTTTAGAATGCTTAATATATTTTTTTAATTGTTGAAGATTAAGTAGGTGTTTGTTTTTTTTTTTTTTTTTTTTTTTTTCTGAATATAATTAAGTAGTTGTTTTAGTTGGGTTGGGCTGGGCAATTGCAAATATATGGGGTCTTCGGATTTCTTCTGATAAAAAATAACTTGTTGCTTTTCATATATTATTGTCCATTATAGTTCGTTTATTTAGATGAGCACCTAAAATTTGGGACTATGAATTGAATTGAATTTTTGCAAACAAATGCAGTGAAGCCTAAATAATTTTTTCTAATGCAAAAAGTTAACAACTTATTTTCTATTATTTGATTGCAATAATTAATAAAAAATATTAAAATATATAATTTACAAGATTACATAATTTTTCAAATTTATAAAAATTTCGTATTTTAAATTTCCACCGATCATGTTGGTATTTGTCGATCGCGACGGATGACGATATCAACAAAATTGGAATGTAAATCTGTAGGGTTTTAAGTGATATTGCTCCTCCAATCACAATTTGCCATGTAAATGAAAAAAAAAAAAAAAAAAAAAAAAAAAAAAAAAAAAAAAAAAAAAAAAAAAAGCTCAAAGCAACTAAGCTTAAAAGTTTTTAGAGTTCGGTACCCTCAAAGTTTGCCTGAAGGAACTAGCAAAGAACATTTAATTTATGGGGACTATTTCGATTCCCACTAAGCATTTTAAATGGGGGTGAAGGCCCTAAGCTCACATCTGTAAGACCATGAATAGTAAAAAAAAAAAAAAAAAAAAAAAAAAAAAAAAGCTCAAAGCAACCTACAGCTTAAAAGTTTTAGAGTTCGGTACCCTCAAAGTATGCCTGCAGGAACTAGCAAAGAACATTAATTATGACTATTCGATCCCACTAAGCATATTTAAAGGGGGTGAAGAGCCCTAAGCACATCTGTAAGAATGAATAGTTTTAATTATAACTATGTTCCAAGTCGGATTTAATCAGTTTCTGATAATAGGGTCCGATCAATAGTTAAAAAGAAAAAAAAAAGCTCAAAAACTATTTTATATATTATTTATGATTAAAATCTTAACGATGCCTAGAAATTAAATTGGTATTAAAAATTTCAGTTATGAAATTTGATATTTGATGGCATAAATTGTCAATGGAAACAGAGAAATTTCAGCCCTCAATCCTACAATTTTGCAAAATGTGAAGGAGATCCCTGTGTCTCCCTCTTCACTGTTGATTCATTCCTTCCAATTTCTACCCTCTTTAGGAGCTAGATTCACTGAATCACTTCAATACTATTAAGGGCATTTAAGTAAATTTAATAAAAAGTGGAAGGACAGAACAAAATCACAGGCCCGCAGTGTAACTAACTAGTAATAGTACAGTAACTGATCTCTTTCCATTGCCAACCTCTCCACTCTGTAAAATGTCTTCTCTCGAAATAGAAACGATCTCCGACGACGTATCTCCGATCGAGGAAGTCCGTCTTACCGTCTCCAACCACGACGACCCTACACTTCCAGTATGGACTTTTCGCATGTGGTTTCTCGGCATCGTGTCCTGCGTTCTTCTCTCCTTCCTTAACACTTTCTTTGCCTACCGAACAGAGCCTCTCACCATTTCCATGATCTCCGTACAAGTCGCTACTCTTCCGATCGGACGGTTCATGGCCAAAACGCTTCCAACAACAAAGTTTGCCATTCCTGGTTTTGGTAACAAGAAATTCTCGCTCAATCCGGGACCGTTTAATGTCAAAGAGCACGTGCTTATTTCGATATTTGCTAACGTCGGATCTAATGCTGGCAGTGGTGCGGCTTATGCAATTAGTATTATTGATATAATTGTGGCTTTTTATCATAGGAAGATTTCATTCTTGGCCAGTTGGATTCTTGTCATCACTACCCAGGTCAGTGACAGTGAGTACATGCATATCTACTTTTTACAGTACCTTTACAATTTTATATTAGCACTTTTAATTATTATTATTATTCTTATTATTATTATTAAGAATCGAAAAAATAAATTTTTGAGGTTGCGTTGAAGCTTTGTATTTTTGCTATGTGACTAAGCAGGTATTGGGATATGGATGGGCTGGGATTATGAGGAAGTTCGTGGTGGATCCCGCCCATATGTGGTGGCCTATTAGTCTTGTTCAGGTTTCTCTTTTTAGGTAGTAATAATTTTTGTTTAATTATATGTTTTGTTTTATTTATAATGATTAATATTTAATTATTGATGTAGAATTATTTTATTTAGAAATTCGCTCTGCAACCATAATTTTAAACCTCAGTTAAAGTTTAATGGAGTGAAATTTTATAAGTTGAGATGCAATAAGAATACAAAGGCTCGCCAAATGCATATTGCAATAATTAACTTGTTAATTGTTACAGGGCTATGCACGAAAGAGACAATAAGAGAATGTCGCGAGGAAAATTCTTCTTGATTGCATTAATCTGCAGTTTCTCATGGTACTTATTTCCTGGCTATCTTTTCCAAACCTTGGGAACCATTTCATGGGTGTGCTGGTTATTTCCCAACTCAGTAACAGCCCAACAAATTGGCTCAGGCATGCAAGGACTTGGTCTTGGAGCGTTTGCAGTTGACTGGTCTGTCATAGCATCTTATCTTGGCAGCCCTCTTATCACTCCATTTTTTGCCATTGTTAATGTACTTGTGGGGTATATTATTATTGTATATATCTTAGTGCCAGTAGCTTACTGGGGTTTTGATGTCTATGATGCAAAGAAGTTCCCTATTATCTCCTCTCATTTATTCAATCGCCGTGGACAGTTGTATAATGTATCTGCCATTGTTAATGATAAGTTTGAGATAGATTTGCAAGAATATGAGAAGGAAGGAAATCTTTACCTTAGTTCATTCTTTGCAATTACTTATGGAGTTGGTTTTGCTGCCATTGTATCCACTCTGGTGCATGTGGGATTGTTTAATGGAAAGTAAGTGAACTAATTTATTTTCTGTTCTTTTTTTTTTTGTCTTTTTAATCTAGTAACTAAATTGACTGATTTACTATTCCAACAGGGAGATAGTTCAACAATTTCGAGCTTCGTATAATGGAAAGGAAGACATTCACACAAGACTAATGAAAAAGTATAAGGGCATACCTAATTGGTGGTTTTACTTGACTCTTATGTTGTCGTTAATTCTGTCTCTAGTAATGTGCATTTTCATGAAAGAGCAGATCCAAATGCCTTGGTGGGGCCTTCTCTTTGCAGTAGCTCTTGCTTTGATCTTCACTCTTCCAATTAGTATTATAACAGCTACAACAAATCAGGTAAAAAAAAAAATCTGTTTTTGGTTCATGTTAATACTTTCTTATACAGTTCTATAAGCTAACTCTTTGCTGTTAATGATTTGAATATTCTGTACTTATTTTCTGCACTGTCGTATTGCCAGTCACCAGGGCTAAATATCATCACTGAGTACCTAATGGGTGTCATATTACCTGGTAGACCAATAGCCAATGTCTGCTTCAAAACCTACGGTTATATAAGCATGACACAGGCCGTTTCCTTTCTTGCTGATTTCAAGCTAGGACATTACATGAAGATTCCACCCAGATCAATGTTTCTAGTGCAGGTATACCTTTACAAACCACTTCGTTTCCAAAAAGAAAGAGAACTTCAAAGAAATAAGCCAAGATAGGCATGATAAAATTAGTGCTTAATAAAGGGTACAGAACTTATAGATTGAATTAATATTAACAGATTGAATAGGGAATGCAAAATTATTGCCAGCAGAAATTTTGCTTATCGGATTTTACTACTCAAATGCCTAACTTTTCCCAGTCTATGTTTTCCTGTCCACTGCACCAAAAAAGTGCATAGGCACTTTAATTTCAGGAACAGTGAACACTGGTGTGGCATGGTGGCTACTAACCAGTGTTAAGAACATATGCCAAGATAGTCTACTCCCTCCTGACAGTCCATGGACATGTCCGAGCGACCGCGTTTTCTACGATGCATCAGTCATATGGGGTTTAGTTGGCCCTAGACGAATCTTCGGCCATCTTGGAAACTACTCAGCTCTAAATTGGTTTTTCCTTGGAGGCGCGATAGGACCTGTCATTGTTTGGCTTTTGCATAAAGCTTTTCCTAAGCAGAAATGGATTCCACTCATCAATCTTCCTGTTCTTTTAGGAGCAACAGCTATACTGCCACCTGCTACAACTGTTAACTTCAATTGTTGGATTTTGGTTGGAACAACCTTCAACTACTTTGTTTTCAAGTATCACAAGAAGTGGTGGCAAAGATATAACTATGTGCTTTCTGCTGCTTTAGATGCAGGATTGGCTTTCATGGGGGTTATTTTATATTTTACTTTGACTATGGAGGGTAAATTCATATCCTGGTGGGGAAATGATGGGGAGCACTGTCCATTGGCTTCATGCCCAACTGCTGAAGGTATTGCTGTTGATGGATGTGTAGTTCTTTAGTTTGTTCTGATTCACCTTTTACATAAACAAGGGAAAGAAGGCTTATAGTTTTAACAAGGTTTTAGCAATTGTGTAAATGTATAAGGTGAGGATTCCACTTTGTAGATTTTATTGAAGATTATTTTAACATTTTTTCTTTTTTCTTTTCTTTTTCCAGCATAAATGAAACCTTTAAAATTGAGGCAAATAGAATTTACTAAAAAACTGAGTAATCCATGACCACATATGAATATTTCTTTTTCTTGCAAAATATTAATATTTATATTGAATTTTATATCTATATGCATGGGTCCATGTCAAAATCAAGATTATGAAATTTAATTAATCTCCCTTGGAAGTTTCTTTACCAAAATAATCATGCATTTATGAAAATGGTAATGAAAGTCATAAACTCGTAATGGTTAAAAGTTGTTCTTATCATGTATTATAAAAGATGCATAGAGATATTTCAAGGAAGCAACTATACCTACTGTGCAGTCTTTAATAATGATTTTGAAAAAAAAAATTAAGGGTCCGTTTGGGCGCAAAATTATATAGATTAATTTTTTATAAAAAAAATAACGTGTAGCTTTTTATTATCGAAAACAGCCCAAACAGAGACTTTGCACTCTGACCCGTTTGTATGCATCAGGAAAGATGATTAAAAAAAAAAAGTTTAAGAAAACTCTAATTAGTTAAAAAATCTTTTTAAGACATATATACGTCTTCTACTTCAAAGTTTGATGTATAATTAATGTCACTGGAAGATAACCTTAACGACAGTAACAACAAGTATTGAAGATTAATTAAAGCTAATGTTGTATGATTGTTCAATCTGATTTCAAAACGAGACTTACAAATATGTACCCAAGAAATTTGCCAGAAATCGCATTAACTATTTATGATCTTGAAGCGATCTGGATTGCGGAGGAGCAAATCTTGAAGAGAATCCACGAGAAAATCCATCTTCATTCTCATCATCCAAACAGCCATCATCAAAATTTTGTGCATAGCTTAAAGGGTCATACCCATAACCAACAGCTGCTGTTCTTTGTTGCCTTTTTGTTCTCGTAAAAGCTGCTGCTATGTTATTCCAATTCCAATTCCAACTCCAACCCACCCTTTTCTGAATCGACGACGTCGTATCCCTATTTGTAGTGTAGCTGCTGCCTATTCTTCGTTTTGCCCAAGGAAGATTCAACTTGAGTCTACCCCAACAAGAAAGCACACTTCTTTCTTCTTCTCTGTTTCTTGGAGATGAGTCAGTTCTCTCCATAGAATTCGACGAGTTAGTTCTCTTTTGCTTAGAAACGACGATGAGTTATTCTCTAACAAAAGTTGTGGCTGTGGGGTATCTTTTTAATTTCTCTGGTTTTTTTTTTTTTTTTTTTTTTTTAATCCCCAGCATGGGAACATCTCTATGAATATTTCTTTTTCTTGAAAATTCTCTCACTCATTTATATTGAAATTTCTATCATCTATATATGCCATGGGTTCCCAATGTCAAATCAAGATTATGAAATTAATTAATTCTCCTTGGAAGGTTTCTTTTACCAAATAATCATGCATTTATGAAAATGGTTAATGAAAGTCATAAACTCGTAATGGTTAAAAGTAGTTTCTTATCATGTATTATAAAAGATGCATAGAGAATTATTTCTAAGTGGAAAGCAACATAACCGGGTAGGCTCACCTACTGTGCCCAGTCTCTTTAATAATGATTTGAAAAAAAAAATTCCTTAAGGGTTCCGTTTTGGGGGCGACAAAATTATATAGGAATTTAATTTTTTTAATAAGAAAAATTCGTGTGATATCTTTTTGATTAATCCGAAAAAACAGCCTCCAAACCAGTAGACTTTTGCAACTCTGACCGTTTGTATGATCCAGGAAGATGATATTTAAAAAAAAAGTAATTAGAGGAAAACCATCTATTAGTTAAAATTCTTTTTTACTAAGACATATTATTTTACGTCTTCTAACTTCAAAGTTTAGATGTATAATTAAACTGTACTGGGAAAGAAAACCGTATATAAACGACCACGTATAAGTAACTAATTATAACCAAAGTATTGAAGATAATTAATAAAAAGCTAATGTTGTATGATTTGTTCCAATCTGACTTTCAAAACGAGACTTACAACATTCATGCTACCCAAGAAAATATATAGCCAGAAATCGCATCTTAACATTATTATATATCTTGAAGCGATCTGGGTTGCGAGAGAGCAAATCTTTTAAAGAGAAATAAACGACGAGAAAAAATCGATCTTCATTCTTCATCATTCCAAAACAGCCATATCAAAAATTTTGTATGATGCTTAAAGGGTCATACCCCATAACCCAACAAGCTGCAAGAAATGCTTGTTCTTTGTTTTTGCCTTTTTGTTCTCCGTAAAGCTGCTGCCTATGTCGTTATTTTCCAATTCTTCTAATTCCAACTCTTTAACCCAACCCTTTTTCTGAATCGACGGGATGTCGTCGTTATCCCTATTTGTTATGTTAAGCTGCTGCTATTCTTCTCGTTTTGCCCAAGGAAGATTAACTTGAGTTCTACCACCAACAAGAAAGCACCACGTCTTTCTTTATTCTCTGTTTTCATTGGAGATGATCCGTTCTTCCAGTGAGGAATTCGACGATGTTAGTTCTCTTTGAACGACGATGATGTTATTCTCTAACCAAAAGTTGTGGCCTGTGGGGTATTCTCTTTTTTAATTTCCTCTTGGTGTTTGTTTTTTTTTTTTTTTTTTCCGTCTCTCACTATGGATTGAGTGTTTTTTTTTTTTTTTTTTTTTTTTGTTACTATGGATTTTGAGTGAGTGGCAGAGGAGATGTTTGAGATGAGAAGAAACAAAATGGGTTTTTTTTAAGGGAAAAATAGAAGGAGAGAAGGGATGAGAATAGGGAAAAAATTGATTTTAATTTTGGTTAAAGAATCTCCGAGTGATTCCATGTTTATGCAGAAAAGTTTGGTAACGTTTGTAATCGAACAAAGGAACCTGAAAAATAATGACAAAAAAACATTTACACACGACAAAATGTCCTTCTAAAACTCTTTGTTACCGTTACGATCAAGGGAAGACTGAAGTCTAAATAAAGAATCGAGGTCAAGGATTGATTCTTCTGGCATAGAATAGAAATTTCCTTTTTCATAGCATTTCCTTTTCCCTTACCATCCGATAACAGCAGGCCAAATTTGATTTTGATGCGCATTAAGAAATTTTAGTTACTACATAATTTGAAACGAATGAAAAAAAAAAAAAAAAAAAAGAGCGAGTTCATTGAATAAGTGAGTGAAAAATTAATGGGCTAGGTAGGAGATTATTTATAAACAACATAGATAAAATAATTACCAAAAAATTGGTAATTTTTTTTTTAGAAAGTAGTATTGTCAGATATTGTTTTTTTGTGTGTGTTTTTTTTGGTAAAAATGGAGAGCAATTGCTGCAAAAGAAATCTCTCTGCCCCACCAGCCCACTAGGTAATAAGATTTTTTTTTTCCATTTTTTTTTTTTTTTTTTTTTGGTAAAATGGAGAGCAATTGCTCAAAGATTATAAGCCCCACCAGGTAATAGATTTTTTTTTTCCTTTTAACAATATATTAGTTTAAGATAACACATTAACTATTTTACCCTTTGTTTAATTAAAGGGTTGTGAATTGTGAGGCTGGGAATCACTATTTGTCTTCTACTCCATTCAGCTAATTTTTCAGGAATTGGACAGCTAAACTAAAACCTGAAAATATATATATCTATTAAAACAATGAAATGGAATTGAAATTTAGAGAAAAAACACATAAAAGAATGGGATTGACATGCTAAAATGGACTTGGATGTGGCTTTCTCACTTTGTTTAACAAGAAAAATTTCTCAAAATTGAACATGATCTATCCATCTCTCCAAGCAACAATCAATCGCTTAACCATCCTTTTAGTTGCTTAGAACACAAAAATTCCCTTTAATTAATTTTTTTTTCTTTTTTCTTTCTTTTTACTGTTTCTTTTTCTGATCAATGAAAACACAAAACTTACCATTTTCTCAGCCACACCAATGGCAATGCTAGAATCTTGATATTTTTCCTCACCAAGTTCCAATTAAATGACAAATGCCTAAAAAACCGTATCCATATACAAGAAATTATCACACGTCGGCGATTCCTGAATTATGTACTTGCTTGCAATAAGCCAATCACATTACAATCAAAGAATAGGAAGTGAAAAGAATCCAAAGCAGCAGTCAGCATCTTGAAAAAATTGCTGGTCGATTGCACCTTATTAAAGAAGATTTTGAACGAGTGACTTCAGATTTGATAACTTATTGGAGGACATATATGAAATTTGATAACTTTATTTGCTGAAGTATTCCGAAGGACATATATATTATAATATAATAATATATATAATTATATATCAGATCATAATTTTTTAAATTAAAACAAAAAAAAAAACATTTTGAACGACATGCAAAATGAACTTCTCATTTAACTCACCTTATTATATAAGTAATTTCTCTTTAATAAAATTCTTCATTTTATTATTCTCATTTACTAAAAAACTAAAAGAGACCTCGAGGACCTTCTCACACAATTATGTCAAAACGGAGGCTTAAGTCCGCAGAAATATTCAATCATAATTTTTAAAAAACAAAAAAAAAAACATTTTGAACGATGCAAAATGAAACTTCTCATTTACTCACCATATTAATAAAAATTCTCTTAATAAAAATTCTCATTTTATATTCTCATTTACTAACTAAAATGAGAACCTGAGACCTCTCAACTAATATTGTCAAAACGGGCTTAAGTCCGCAGACGGTCTTTGATTGTCTATAATCTGTTTGGATTTAGACAAAAAAAATTAAGGCCCATTTTTTAAATGGGCTTTTTTATCCGACCTGCTTTTTACTAAAGCCAGTGCGGGCCGAGCTGGATGGATCCGTAGGGACCCGCATTAGAGTAATATATATATATATATATATCATAAAACTTTAAAATAAAAAGGGAATTAAACCTAATGGAAACCATGTTGGAAAATTTTTAGTGGTCCTGGATTAAATTCTTGGAGGAAAAAGTAGTAAAATTAAAAAAAAAAAAAAGAAAGAAAGAAAGAAAAAAAATGAACTTTCAGAACGGACATGTTCATACCCACGCGGGCCGGACGAACTTGAATATTAGAGGCTTGTTTTTTAATAAGCTTTTTTTGCTCAGCCTGTTCTGGGATCGAGCCCGTGCAGGCCGGGGCAGGCCCAACAGCCCATTTTTTGACAGCACTACTCTCAACTTTACACATAAATAAAAAGATCAACCGGTACACATCTTAATATTTTTAATAATTATTTATTTGCTTGAGAATATTTATCTATAAATATAAACCATCTAAAAATCTCAACTAAACTAAAATTTACAGACTAATTTCAAATTGAATATAATTAAGTCATAAAATTTGGCAATCTAAAAATTTAAGCTTCGGTGCTTGAAATTATTCTTAAATTTTTAATTTGCCATTTTGTCCATTCTTCTGTGTTCCAACTTCCAAATATTTATTTCTACACATGAAAATCATTTTCTCAGGCCTAGATTTAAGACTCCCCTTTGAAATATAAAAACATAAATATCACTAGTAAAGACAACGGAAGTAGAGTTATTGGAACTAAAATGGCCAAACATTGCTCTATTAAGCTATGATGCAGGGCCTAAAAAGAGCATCCCAGTGATTTATCTGTCATTAATCAAATAACTAGCAATAATAGCAAAGTGGAAAATGGAGAGTAAAATTGCACCATTTCGGCTTTTCCTAGCTACAAAATACTTTGATGGAAAGAATATCGGAAGCTTTTGCAAAGAATATCCATCACATTGCATGCATTTACTAAAACCATATATATATACACACGTAGATAAATTACTTAGCCCCTTTCAATTCTATTCTAGTATGTGTGTATCTCATTGCTTACCACTCTACTGTTCACATTTGGTCCATCCTCTGGGCTGCACCTGTCACTTTATCCCTCCACTCGCCACTCATAACAAACAAAAGAAAATTGCAGGTAGAAATCATAAAATCCATCATCCAAACGCTTCCCAAATCCTCAAAAATAAAAATAATTAAGCTTTATCTATAATAGGATAGCCTAGTTGGAGAAAGCATGTTATCTTTAGCAGTGGTGATTCTTATTTGACTTTTATATTCTTATTTGACTTTTATATCAAACCAAGGAAAGAGAAACATTGAATAAATAGTTTCTTTTTTTATCTGTATTATGATGATACAACTGCCACATAATCTGCAAGATAAAGATGAACAGAAACTTAGATAAGTATTTAAAGCTAATACCAGAATATAGATAGCCTGGTGTGAATTTTCATGTCGGTTCTGAAGTGTATCCAAATCCTAAGACCAAATAAATCTGAGTATAAGAACTACATAGAGAACCTACCAAAAGTAAATTTGGATTTTGCTCATTGTAAACAGTTGAAACTAAAATGAAGAGAAAATAAAAAAAACAAAACAAGAAGTAAAGCAAAGCAAGACTCTTACAAAACAAGGTTGGCAGAAAAGGATGCCTAACCTAATCCAGAGGAGTAAATTATTAAATAGCAGCAGCTGAACATGAATAGCAAGCTACATCCTGACAGCCACCTGTTCTGCCGAACTTTTCTTCACAACTCCTCTTAAGCACAGCTCATTCAATAACTCCAAAGCCTCCTCAGCTAAACCTTCATATGCAATGCCTTCAATGAGGATGGTGTATGAAGCTTCAGTTGGCTTACATCCATTTGATACCATATAAGCCAAGAAGTCAATTGCACGGTCAGTCTGTCGAACCTTACAAAGTCCCAACATGACAGAATTGTAGGTGATAGCATTTAATTTGACCCCCCGACCTTGCAAATCATGAAAAAACTTAATTGCTTCATCAACCTTTCCTTCTCTACTTAGCCCGCCGATAAGCGAAGAGTAGGTAATTGCATCAGGCTTGAGACCTTTTGCCTGCATCTCATCCACAAGTTCCACAGCTTGATATGTTTTCCCTGCCTTGGAAAGCCCATCAATCACAGTATTGTAAGTTATCAAAACAGGTGAGCACCCTTTGCCATTTAGCTGATTAAGTAACTCAACGGCGGCATCAACGTTACCATCTTTGCACAATGCCGTAAGCAAAGTGTTGTAAGTCACAATATCAGGATAACAACCCCTAGTAACCATTTTCTCCAAATACTCAATTGCCCTTTCCATCTTCTTTTCTTTGCAAAACCCATGAATCAATGGGTTGTAACTTGAGGAATTTGGTGTGCATCCATGATTGGGCATCTTCTCCAAAACATCAATTGCTCGACCTAATAAACCCTTACGACACAAGAAATTAATCAATATATTGAAAGTCACAACACTAGGAGAACAACCCTTACGAACCATTTCAGCCAATAGCCTCTCTGCATCCATCCACCTCCCAGTGCCACACATGCTACGCAAAATAATATTATAAGAAATAACGTTAGGTTGGCATCCATGTGATGGCATGTTGTTTAAGAACTTGATGGCATCGTCCAACCTCCCCTCCTTGCATATTCCATTGACAAGGACATTGTACGTAACCACATCTGGTTTGCATCCCCTATTCCGCATCTCATCTAAGAGCTTCATTGCCTGCACAACACCACTTTCCCTACAAGTTGCCTCAATTAATATGGTATATGTGATCACATCAGGATAACATTCTTTTTCCAATTGCCTATGAAGAACTTGCATTGCTTGATCCAATTTCCCACTATCACACAAATAGCGTAAAATTGTATTATAAGTAACAACATCAGGGGCAACACTCATTTGTTCCAAAACCCTTAAAGCATTATCAATCTCTCCTGCCTTGCAGTACCCACTAATCAATACATTATAAGTGATCACATCAAGAACAGCTCCAGAATCCTCAATTATTTCCATAATCCTAGTTGCCTTCCTAGTCTTTCCAATCTTACAAAACCCACGAATTAAACTCGTACAAGCAATTATATCAGGAATATCCCCACGGTACACCATGCTCTCTAGTAACCTGAAACCTGCCTCCAATCTCCCATTTCTAACCAATTTACGAAGTTGATTATTACTCTCAATTTCCTCAAAATTTGACAGAGAATGCATAGAACCTGAAGAAAAATGCCCGTTTCCCATATCCCCATTTGGCTGTTTATCAGAACTTGGAAATCTACCATTGGAACGAAAGGCTTCAACCCCAGAAACGGCAACAATCCGACTCCGTCTCAACTTTCTAAATCCTACATAAGCTTTCATTCTTGAACCAACTTTATCCCTAATGCTAACCCCAACAAAACCATTGCTATTTCTAGCATTTTCTCTTTGAAAGTATAGAAATGAGCAAAAACCTTCATGGGTATGATTTCTATGTACTATCAAATCCATAATCTCAAACACTTACAAATAACTAAATGTAAAATTCAAACATTCATGTCTAACAAAGAACTATTGCTTAGCAGTGTAGATAGATAGGCAAGTGTAAGTTTGGAGAGGAGACAATAATTTAGAGAAAAAAGAAAGAAAGTATGGATAGACAACGCTCACCGTTAAGGCGCTCTAACAGAAATAGGACTCGGAAACAGATAGCCAGTGTGCCGGCGCTTTTGCTTATCCAGTTTTGTTGTCTTCTTCTGGGTTTCAGCGGAGGTGTGCACTGAAGTGCAGAACGGTATCTTTGAGGGCAAATGATGCCTGTAATTGAGACGGGCTTAAAAGAAAAATAATTAAACAACGGCCAGGACAATTTGTTATCGGACTTTATGGCTTGAAGCCCATATTTAAACGAGACAGACTCGTTGTTCAATTTTATAGATGGAAAGAAACTTTTCCTGAAGTATGAAAAGTTTCCTTTATTATCAGAATGGCGTCGTTCTAAACGACTGTGGCCCGTGGGAGTGATTTTTCACATAATACGCAGTCGTTGAACCCTTTTGTCGACAGCGTGTACTCCTTAGCAAACACATGGCAAGAGGTAGGACCATGTAATTTCAAACTGTCATGGCAAATTTATATCAGCATCAGCGTCATCATTGTGGGGTTGTTCTTCTCCAGCATTAGCTGAAGCTCAAGCGCTTAGAAATGATTTGTCATAGTTGCTGTCGGACTACTCTAATTTGCAGTTTCAGTTTGAGACCGATTGTCTGCAAGTTTACTATACTATGAGGAGTTCTGTCCAAGACTTGTCTGAGTTTAGAGTTGTCATCTGTGAATGTAAGTTACTCTTAGTCCAATTGCTTAATGTCACTGTGACTTGGATTAGAAGACAAGCTAATGATATAACTCATGTTTTGGCTAAATCAGTTCCTAGTGGGGCTTGTTTTCGAACTTGGGATATTGTTTCCGCTTGCATTGCTTGTTTCTTCTCTCAATAATATATGAGCAATATTTCAATGTCAAAAAAAAAAAAAAAAAAAATATTCTTCACTGCTAATATCTATTTAGTATGTTGTAAAAGAAATAAATGGATATTGTCCACCATACTTTCTATTTTTAGAAAGTCTTTTAAACAATGTAAACATTTATTAGTCTATAATAATTAGTTGTATATTAAATTATGGACCAAAAAAAGAAAAAGAAAAAAGGGATGCAAAAGGATCTGAAAAATGTGTATTAGACAATGATTTTTAAAGTTTATAAATAGGTATTTAGTCACATCTTCATACATTTTATTTTATATAATACATTAATCACAGTCCATGTCTTTTATTCTATATAATACATCAATCATAATCCACATAGCATCGAAAATGTTCTAAAAACCTATTTTCGTTCTTCAATCAATTATGGTCATTAGATAGTAACACCATGTTTGAAAAATAGAAACTTGAAAGTAAGGGAGGACAGGAAACGTTGGCAAAAATTTTAAAAATTTTTACACCCTTTTTCTTGTTTAGGAAGATGAGGAAGAAAGAAATAATGTATTCTTTCTAGTAGGGGAGAAAGTGAAACAAAATTAACCATATAAAGAAAATAAATTTATTTTTTTATTTCAAAAAGATAAAATTTAGAGAAAAAAAATATCATTATTGAAAATTAGCAATTATGTCATTACTTAAATAATAAGATATTTTAAGAAATTGTTAGAGTTTATTAATTTATTGAGAGTATTTGAATACTTTAATAAAAATAAATGAAATTTTTATTTTTTTTAATTATTTTATCTCTTAGTCGGAGAGATTCAAATTTATAAACTTGGATAAAAACAAGTGAAACATTATTTCGTCCAATATTTCACTTTTTCGGTGGAAGTAAACATCTTTGTATGTCTTGAACATTCCAATTAATTAACATAACATTTGAAGTGAAAAAGAAAAATAATTAAAAAGGTTGGCAAAACCTAACCAAATAACAATCACACACGTAGGAAGCAAAGTCAAAAGAAACAGAACCTATTCTACACACATTTCACTGTAAAACATGATGAACTAACCAAACCCCACAAAACTTAGGTATAATAACGCAATGTTAATAACGTTCAATGTATTTAACTTTCTGCTTGGAGAAACGCAAACAAGGTTTTGCCTGCCTACTGTCTACCGGCATGGAAATCCATTATGTTTATCTTTCTGTTCTATTAACAGGTCAGAAAGGGTCAAAAGACCAACCATTAGAACCAATCTCTTCTTGACACAGCCTTTCAACTCTATACTTTTATAAATAAATAATCAAAATAAAATTGCTCTATCATTGAGATTTGGATTTTAACTTTGGACATTGAAGTGAAATGTCGAAGATATTTTTAGCCAGATCAATTATTTGTTTCAAATCTTACTTTTTTATAATTAAAACTTAAAAGGGTAAAATGAAATCTAACACATGTCGTGACAAAACATTAACCCACCTTAATTAAGATTTCACATGATGTTTTAATCATAATTGACTTGGTTATCCATATCTTACATTTATTTTTCTAGTTAAACACAATTGTGGCATAAGGAGTAAATAGTAAGAGATTTATTATTTATTTTTTATTATAATACTTTTAAAACAATAGATGTATTTCAATCAATTTGAAAAATAAGTATTAGACATCACTCTAAGACCTTGTTTGGCAATATTAATTACTGATAATAACTGTTGATTGTTTTAATAAATATTAGATACTAATTATTAGTGATTAATTATTTATATAATAATTTGATTAGTTGCCAATATAATGTAATTTAAAAATTTTAATTAATTATATTATCAAATGCTAAACGCTAGTGTACATAATATTTCATAAAATATTTCCTTATTTTACAAATACTATGATAAATAGCATATCACTGAAAGTTAAAATATTAAATACTGTTTTAAAAATTATAATGCTACGTGGTTTAAACAGCCAAAGCAACTGACGTCTCCAATCTCAAATGCTAAAATAATTAATAATAAATAGGTAAATGGAGGAATAAGTACGCAAATGCTCATCTTTGTATTTACTCAATGATTGGTTGATATTAAAAAATTTATAAACTGGCAAATTATTTTATCATAAGTTGAAAAGCAAGTTAAAAAAATATTCCCATGAATAGCGGATAAGTTAGACAGCTTATCTAAGTCAGATGATGTTTCTTTTTTTTTTATAAAGTGAGGTGAATATTTTGTTACCTAATATTCTGTCAATCTTTTGCATGTAGTTACCCAATTTTACCCGTAGATTTTAACTTATTCCTCTAATGAATTTGCTTCCGATTTTTTGCATTTGACACCTATTATTGATGTCATATTCGCGAGTGACAACAATTATATTTGCATTTTTCGGTAACAACTTTTAAACTAACGTTAAAATGCCATCTTTGTTAATGTAGCGTTTAATAACGTAAATTTTATAATAACTTTTAGAGGTTGGATAAGTTTTTTTACGAAACGTTAAATACAACAGCATTTAGCTTTTAATTAAATTTTTTTAACAATCATACTTATTATTTTTTTTCTCAAAATTCAACTAATTAAATATCATTTTAAATTAAACAGCTAATTAAACTATAGTTTTTACCAAAATATTTCTAATTTAAACTATTATATAAATCAAAATAGTTAATATTGTCGAACATACTCTACATCATGTGTTTAAAGTTAAACCATTTACAGCATCAACCATAAATGGATTATTGAATCAACGGAAATAGATCCAACACATATAACTAAATTTTAAAATTTAGTGTCATTAATATAAAAGGATTTTTACTAAATTTTATTTTCAATTACAACATAAAGATGAGTGTGTGAAAAAAAAATCTTTATTATAGTTATAGAAAAGATTAACGATCTAATTTATGTGGTATTTCAATTTTATCTTAATCTTTTAAAATTATTTATTTTACTGTACTCTAAATTCAGATCATGTTCATTTGAGAGTAAATGTAAAGAGGAACTTTTAAATTCTCGAGAAATATAAATCAGGCCTTTGTTAGTAATTTTGTTAGTTGAGATTATTAAGAAAAAAAAGATAATTTTATTAATTATTGTAATAAGAATTTATAAGTTTGGAATTAAAAAAAAAAAAAAAAAACAAAGTCTGGAATAATTAATTACATGAACGATGGATCCAAAACAAAAACATAGACACGCGCAAGGGTATCACCTCCCACTGCTTACCTTTCAAAATATCTGAGTACAAGTCGCTAAAGCAGCAAGACGTTGCTGAAATATCTAGTCCTTTCGGTAATAATTTAAGGCGGGAATTATGAACGTGCAATAGGACTAAAGTATTGGGTGGACACGTGTCATATCAAGGTGGTAGGCCCCTTGGATCTTTTCTTTTGGAACATTTTCTGTTGCTCTTATTATTTATTATACATTTTATAAAAATATATTGCTCTGTTTGCTCCTTTTTATATTTATTTTTCTTAAGGAATTTTTTCTTTGTTACAACAGGAGTGGAATATTAAAATGAGCCCATGGTTTGGGCGTAGTTTGAACTTTCAATAACCAAATTGCTACGTGTTCGATTTAGATTCGTACAGAACGAAAATTTATTATTATAATAATAAATTTCAAGTGGTTCTATGTGATTCGACGTGGCCAACGCTAAGGTCAGAAGGTGTCCTCAGGCGGTTGCCCAATTATATTTTTTGTCCTCCGTGCAGTTAGTTTGCCAAACCGAGTCAGCTTCAAGTTTTCCTTAACGGCTTTGAAACGGCGGCGGCTTTGGTTAACAAAAAAGTTGAAGCCGAGCTTTATTCGTATTAAGCTTGGAGGGATGTCGGTCCAGTAATTGTGAGTCATCGCTCATGATTGAGCAAAGTATACTTTTTTTTTTTTTTCTAAAGTATTTTTTTCTTTATTTCAAATAACAATAGGAACACGAGAAAATATTAAATTAAATAAAAAAATAAATTTTAAATTCTTAAATATATAAATTTAGTAATAATTAAATAAATTTAAAGTGAAAATTATGATAAAAAAATAAAAAACTACAACAAAAATATAATTGATTATTTAGATAGTGCGGTATGTTAAAATTTAAAGAAAATAATACAAAGTATTGAAAAAAAATTTATAAAAATTATATCAATAAATAGATTTTATCTTAGATTTTAAGAATATATGTTATACTAACTAAAATTTCAAAATAAAAGCTGAAAATTTTGAAAAGTAATTGCCTAATGCTAGAGGAGCCAAGGAAAAAAAAAAGAAAAAGAAACACCATCTAAAAGACCCCATAAATAGGAAAATATAGACCATTATAAAGATAATGACTTGATTATTTTTTCAATTGTCTAAGAAATATTAAAATATTAAAATATATTATTTTTAAAACATAGTGTGAATTTTATATATTAAATAATATTCATCAAATTAGTGTGACTAATCAAAATACTGGACTATAACTTATTCACATGTTTTTATTAGAAATATAAATATTATAAGCACTATATATAATATTTTTTTTTTTTTTTGAGATAGCTGCCCTAAAAAGAGAAAGAAAGAGTATGAGATAGTTTTAATGCCTACAATTTATTTATTTATTTTTTCTTTTTTATTTTGCTTCCCGTGGTATTAAGATAAATTGATAATTTATTTTAAAAAATTACTACTAGCATAAAGATTTATATTTTTATAAGATTCAATTCCCACTGGCATTTCACATATTTTTTTATAAGACTAAATTATCGCACTTTAAGTAATGAGATTTCTTCAAACAAAAAATAATTTCCAAAATACTGAAGTATCTATTTTATTATTTTTAAATATTGTTTGATAAAATTGAAAATTAACTGCTAATAAAATTAAAATTTAAGTAATAAAATTCTTAAATTGTAACGACTTATTGCATGTAATACAAATTTGAAACTAAAATTTTGATTTATCTTTTTTAAATAAATTTTAACTTAATTGGAAAAATTACTAGTATCAAATAATTTACAATTAAGAATATTGAAAATTTTAATTTAAATAATTCTTAATGCTAGAACTTATAAAGTGAACGTCAGCCGGCTCAATAAAAGAAGTACCTGCTGGCTACGGTGAAACAGCAGTTATAAACAGCAGCTGTCCCGGAAATAGAGAAACTGAAATAAACCCCGTCTAAAAGAATCCGAATCTAGGTCATTGCAATTAAAAAAAAAAAAAAGAAAAAAAAAGAAAACCCCCAAAAATATCTGAAGAAAAAGCACAAATTGGATTGGTTGATTACGTGTATAGATCAAGTGGGGGCAGCCCAAGCTTTAGCCTCCCCCACACTGTAACACTATAAAACGTGAAACCTTCTTCAGTTTCAGATATTTCCACTCTCTCTTCTTTCTCTCTCTGAGAACAAAAACCTTTCGTCTTCTTATTGTTGCAAAATTTCTGTACTCAAACAGATCTCCTCTATTTTTTTTTTTTCAGATTTTTTTCCTTCTCTTTTCTCTCCGATTTTCCCCAAGATTTCAATATTTTTCTTGAAAATTTTTTTTATGCAAAATTCTTCGAGTTTCTGTCGATGACTCGCTGCGTTTTTGAGATTTATCAACGCTTTAATGTGGTTTCTCTTCAGTAAGTTATCGATTGAATCGTTCAGGAATTGTTAATTTTGATCTTGTTCATGTCATGTTCCGATTTACTTGTTCTAAGATCCGTTTGGTTACCTAGAAACTTTAAGAAAATGAAGAAAAAACTGAACTAGGAACCTCCTGCTTGTACATGCATTGCAAGCCTCTTGCGAGACGGATCATTTCACTTTTTTTTTTTTTTAATCTTTTTCTGCTAGATTCATTAGCATTTTTTTTTTCTTTTTTGTGTGATTATTTTTTATTTTTTAAATTTCTTTTTTTTTTTTACAGTTTGAATTATCCGCTCCTGATATTTGGAGGAGCAACGGAGTCAGCTGATGCCGTTTGGCTTTGAGGTCAGAACTTTTTGAAGGTACTTTTTTGATATTCTATTTTCCTGTTTTTGAACTGTATAGTCTTTAGCACAAGAACTGTTCACCTTTATCTTTTATTTTTATTACTTTGATTTTAGTTCTAACTTTATTCTCGTTCAATGAATGCACTGTGGAGAGATTTGATGTTGTGTGGTGTTATGCATTTATTTTAATCTTATATTGTTGAATTGCATTGCTTAATCATATTGTTGGAGAATTGTTATATTTCTGAGTAGTTAGTTTCAGTAGGTAACGTTTGATTTCTCAATTGAGCACATAAAATATTGCTTAAACCACCCTTTTTCTAAATCTTGAACACCTAAAATACACGTTTAGCCATTTAATTGATTTCAATTACTGTCTTATTGAAATAATAAGAGGTGATACACTCAGAGTACATATAACAATATGTGTATAATATCAGTTAAAGTAAATTAAATATGTCCTCCATGGCCCTCCTTTTGTTTTTATTACTGCACATGTTTGTACTTTCAAACTTTTGGCTCTTTAATTTTCTCTCCTTTTTAATTTTATCTTTATATTTTTGCATTTTGGATGGTAATTCAAGGTGGAAGTTGTTATTGTCGTTTTTCTAATTTTTTTTTTTTTAACTTCAATGAAATGTAATGAAAAAACACATCATTATGTAATTTTCTTTTCATGGTTGTGATGTTTGCTGGCTCTTTACGCATGACATTTTCTTTTCTCGAATGACTAATAGAGCTTATAAATAATCTTTTGGAAGATGGGGATATGTGGATGGCTAGTCTTAAAATAAATGAAAATCATATTAGTACTTGCATGGATATGATGAAAAATGTACTTATTGCTCACATATTCACATAAAATATGAATCACAGAGGAACCTTTTTCATTATCGAAAGATATTGTTTTAATAAATGTAATTCATGACAATATGCAACATAATTGTGATTTCTGGTTATAGTAAAATTTCACATCAAGCAACAAGTAGTCAATCTTTGGATTAATAGTTTTTGAAACTTATAGAATTTGTTAAAATTCATGCAATTAATTATATGAGTTTTTAACTCCATGGAATAGTTCGAGTGAGTTTGTTTTACTATGGAGATTAGATCCATGAATTTTGAAGGGCATTTTATAAATTATATACATAGAACTTTTTAGAATCTTGTATTCATTAAAATGAAGAGTTGGAAAATTCCATGTTTTATGTGGGATTTTAATTGAGGGATTTATTAATAATTTCGGAGAATGAGAGATTTTTTGAAATCTATGGATTTTATCATTTGTTTACCAAATAAACAATGAAATCGGGTTAAATCCATGGATTGTTTGAATTTTCCCATCTAAGATCCCTCAATCCAAACTATACTTAAATGGCACAAAGAAGTATGTTCATAAAATTCCTTAATCCAAACTTATGTATAGACATAATGGTGGAGAATAGTCATATCTTGAATTCACTTCAAGTGTTCATATATGGCAATTATTTATGCGACACATTTATGATTTATAATCAGAGAGAATTTTCACACTGACACAAATATCAAAGAAATGTTTCCTTATGTTTTCTTGTCTTTTTGGTTTTAATAAGATCTTTTGGAATATTTTCTCTTTTCAATTTCCCCTTTCTTCCAAATAAGAGAAGATAAAAACATCGTCCCATCTTTGCTTCCCCCACTCTTACCTCTTCCCCTAAATAGCATAAGATGCAAAAATTAGATGTTGAAGTTTGTTTGTTTGTTGTCCTTTGGTTAATTGCTTGCAAAATTGTTTATAGATAATTCATTACACAATCAGCTTAACTTGTGAAGTAGTTTATAATCACTTTAACAATTTAACAAAGTAATACGAACACCATCTTAATTGGTCAATGGCTTTGTAAGGGGGAATGTGAGATACCAATATCTTTTAAAGATTATGAGCATAACTGATACAAATAATCACAAAATACAATAGTGTGCTCAGGTTCTATTTATCTTTGAGTCCATATTCATAAGAATGATAATACGAGTCTCTAGTTTGATAGCTTTACTGTTTTTTGCCCTGTGTATATTTCCAAATGTAGGGTAAAATTGTTAGTTTGGGGTTTTGGTTTGACTTAATCAATGATGAGCTTGCCTTTGAAGCCAGGGGAGCCAAAGAAAATTTGCAAAAGTTGGTGGCGCAAACAAAAAAAATTCACTATTTTATAAAAAATTTAAAAGTAACTTCAGAGCTAGAGGGCTCCCAAATTGGTACTAGACCAATGATGGATAAGGAATTCTTGCATTAATTTTGTAGAAAGGCCCAGTAGAAATAGTTTACTTGAGTTTGTCATGCTTATATATGAACTTGTATGAAGGGGGAGACAATTAAAAACTAGTTGTTAAGCATATTGCCATAGATCATCAAAAAGAACCTTTTTTAAAGGAAGCTTATATTACATTTTTTATCAAAGAAAACCTTCCCCATTGGATGTTCAAGGATAAATGTTGGTAATTTACAAAGTCAAAAGTTTTCTAGAATTTAGCCAATACCGGTCTAGAAGGTGGAACGCTAGCAGGAGGTGAGAAAAGAGGTCTACTCATAGCAATTATTGTGATGATAGTTAGTCATTTAACATTCAAGGAATATTTTTTTGGCTAAATACGTCAAACCATAGTAAAAATAACATAAATCTACGTCTTTATACTCGTTCATCATCCCAAACCAAAGAAAATAAGTGAGTAGTAAATCATTCTACTTTATACACTTAATCTAGTTATATGGAAAATAAAAACCAAAACTATCCATGCATCCTGCTAAACATATGCTACTAGTACATAGCATAGTGGAGATGGTGTCTAATAAAGCTAAATGGTTGTCCATTTTTCTTAACATATGAGTGGAGCACTTCTCTAGACTCAAATCATATCACTGCCCACTCTTGATCAAAATTGGCCTTAAAAGCACTTCCTTCTAGGTGTTTAAAAAAGAAAGGCTTTGGCTTGAATATGACTCTTCTTTGGAAACATATTGCCTTGGGATTCCTATCATACTATATCTTTTCTAAATGGAAAAGGCTTTAGGGGGTTCTCAAACTTGGGATAAACATGTTGTGGATCACATTTTCAAAGATCAATTAAGAAAAATTACATTTTAGGTTTCCGACATTTAGAAATTATTTGGAAACGAAATCCCTGTTGAATGGATAAAGGCGATAGAAGGAGATCATATTTTTTTCATCTCTCTACTTTAGCTAAAAGATACATGAACTCAAAAGAAGTTGATGATGGCTATGTCTTTGGTGATGTGTTTCAAGTAGGGGGCCAAAGTTGCTGAGCACTTTCTATGACTTTTCTTTACATGGTTTCCATGTGGGGTGTGGCGCTTGAATCCTAATTTGTTTAAATGTATACTACTAAATAATTAAGATTAGGTTCATCGTAATAATTAAAATAATGTAGTAATGGGCTTTTCAAAATGGTCTTCCCATGCCATTTTTTCATTTAAGTAATTTAGGACACACTTTGTCTCCAAATTAGTCCAATAGTATTGAGATATGGTTAACCTTGTTCTTTATGTTGTAACTCTCTCTTTAAGAAAATTTCTTTACTTGTACATAAAAAAAGAAGCTACAACTAAATTGTAGATCAATATAACAATAAATTGTTGAATTGGAATTATAATAATTAGGGTGGACAAGATCATTGGAAAGTACAATGACAGTCAAAAAAAGGATTTAGTATTGATGTGGTTATTACATTTTCCTTGTTTAGAAATACTTAACTCTTCCATGTTTACTTAAAACTAGTCTAGAGAGTTACACATCTTTAAGTTTGTAGTACTGGAATTATACTAATGACAAGATCATTGGAAAGTACAATGACAGTCAAAAAAGGATTAGTAGTGATGTGGTTATTACATTTTCCTTGTTTAGAAATACTTAACTCTTCCATGTTTACTTAAACTAATCTAGAGAGTTCCACATACTCAAGTTTGTAATCAATGTATGTTTTGATAGAGTTTTGAGAACACAATTGCTTTGAATGATTGTTTTAGGATGCCTTTTCCAAAAGATGGTGCCACCATTTAATAGCAAAAGGATATAATACTGTATAAGATGCCACAATACAATTTAACTGACCAAGTCTTTAGTACCATGATAAGTGCAAATAATGATATTTATGGAAATATAGAGATTAGTTCAGGGATGAGCGCCTTAATAATAAAATTGGAATGCCATATAACTAGATAAGTTAAGATAGAGTCAATTGAGGTGGTTTGGCTATATCTAGTATAGATTAGCAGGATGAAAGATTGAGCACATCCAAGGTTTAGGAGTGAAGAGCTGAAGGGGCAAGATAAAGGAAATATGGGCTGAACAGAATTTGATATCTCTAGTCCTCTCTAAAAATTTAGGTCTAAATGGAGTAGAATGTAGAAAAATATTTCATAAACTGATTTGAACTAGCTTGAATTGAGGATGTGTTGAGAACTTGCAAATGGGGTTGATGGTACACAGGGATGAGAAAAGGGTTGTAGGACAATGCTGATGCAATAGTTGCATGCAAGTGCAACAATGATAATGGAACTTTACCGGAAAAATGTGTTAATAACTCAAAAGAGTTGCAAGAAAGTGCAGTGATGGTAAAAAAGGCTTGCAGCTTGGTGCAATTATAGCATAATCAAGTTACAGTTTTGCATTAGGAAATGATCGTTCTTGAGGCGACAACTGAAATCCCTAAGTTCTTCTTTTATACTTTCTCAAACCATTCATTGTGCTACTTTTTGGTTCATACTGGCCTTTTGCATTCTCAAAACTGTGCTATTTAACTCCTTGAAAGGCTTTCCTAAATACGCAGAATTATATGGCAGTGTACAAATTGGATTGCTTTTTTTTTTTTTTTTTTTTTTTTTTTTTTTTTTTTTTTTTTTTTTTTTTTTTTTTTTTTATTTTTTTTTTTTTTTTTTTTAAATCTGTTTATGGTGTTATAATTTTTTATTATACTCATATTATTAAAATTGTAGTATATTGTTGCATATGAATTTTTATTATTTTATACAACGGTTCCCTTAAGATTTTTTCCATCAAAAGGTGTAAAAGTTCACAGGTGTTTGTTTTTTAGTTTGAGATTGGACTCTTTTTAAAGTTCTTGTTCTTTCCATATTGTTTGAAGTAAATTGGAAAACTACCAGGTGTGCAAAAATAAAACAGTTTTTGTACCGGACATGTATCCTTATTTGCCTCAATTGCCATGTTTGTTATTAATCAATTGCCAGAGAGCCATGAATCTGGACTAGAAAGGGATAATTTTTCCAATGAAATTTCGAGTAATCGTAATGGAGAGCAACGCCAATGCTCATAAATATTTTTTTGGGGGGGGAAAAAACGAAAATAATGATTGAAAAAATAAAAAACCACTGGTTAACATCTTTTTTGCGACAATGTAAGGTCTGAGAGATTGGGTGGAAAACAAAGTTCCATCTTATTTTTTTCCAGCCATTGCTGTTTAGATTTTAAAATTTTAAAAAAATTCAGTGGCTTGGTTTTCATTTCATATCCGTAAATATGCTGAAGCCATTAAATCATTTTGAAAATAATTGGGAAAATCACAAACTTCTTTACTGTTAAACAATCTAAAGCTTTCATAAAAGGGAATCGTCTACTTGTTAGCATATTTCACTTAATAATAAATCTCAGGCACGTTGAGGATAGTGCTTCATTATTCTGATTTTTTTTTTTTTTTTTTTTTTTTTTTTTTTTTAAATCTGTTTATGTGTATAATTTATACTCATATATTAAAATGTAGTATATGTGCATATGAATTTTATACAACTGTTCCTTAAGATTTTTCCATTCAAGGGTAAGTTCACAGGTGTTTGTTAGATTTGACTCTTAAAGGTTCTTGTCTCCATATTTTGAGTAATTGGAAGTGTGCAAAATAACAGTTTTGTACCGACATGTATCCTTATTTGCCTCAATGCATGTTGTATTAATCAATGCCAGAGATGAATCTACTAGAAAGTTTTTCCAATGAAATTCAGTAATGAGAGAAGCAATGCTCATAAATATTTGGGAAAAAATGATTGAAAAACACTGTACATCTTTTTTTGCGACAATGTAGTCTGAGATGAAAACAAGTTCCATCTTATTTTTTCCAGCCATGCTTGTAGATTTAAAATCAGTGCTTGGTTTTCATTCTATCCTTTGCTGAAGCATAAATCATGAAATAATTTGGGAATCACAAACTTCTTACTGTTAAACAATCTTAAGCTGTTCATAAAGGAATCTCTATTGTTAGCATATTTCCTTAATAATAATCTCAGACTTGATGATAGTGCTTCATATTCTGACCTTAATCGCTGGATGCTCACTGAAGTTATAGATGCTCTTTTGTGCTCTGTTGGTTTGAAGTTGCCGAAACTAAATTTTCTACTTGATGTCTGGCCATGTGAAGGTCTCTTTGGCAACTTTTCTGATTGAGGTGATCTTCTGTCACAACATGAGCATTAAAATTAGTCAATTGTTAGCATCAAGGAGAATAATTTTTATTTTCCACATCTTATAAACAGTTTACTAATAATTACCTAGGAAGTCATTCCATATATCATATCTAGTTCTGCTTCAAAGCTGCAGTTATGTCATTGTTAGAATACTATCACCATGCCTTTGTTTTGTTGAAACTTGCTGCTTATGGACATCTCTTTTTTTTCTTTTGCTACTTTTTGTTTGTCTCATTTCTTTGTTCTTTGATTTTAATAGTTTGTGTTGGTCATTTTTTTTTCTCCATTTGGGCAAAGAATGGTTTTTTATTTGAATGAATTATTTTGTCTAGGTCTCCCACATATCATTGTCATAGTAAACTGATGAAATCACTTAAAGTTAGTGATTGAATAACTGATCAGTCCATGAAGGTAGATATGTTAGCACTTCCCTCCAGAAACAATTTGAAGCTAAAAGCCAAATTGAAATCTGAGTTAAAAGGCTTTTGCACTTTCCTAAGTATTTTGTTAATTATGCTTCTATGTTTTTTTTTTTTTAACGTTTCAGCCGATTTGATATCTTCCTAAAGCATCTGAATCCTGATGTTGTCATGTTTTATTCCATCACATGACCTATGCATATATTGGCTTTGTGTTTAAGTAAGCGTGAAGCACTTGTATGGCAATCGTGCTTGTTCATTTTAAGGATATGATCACTTAAAAAAGATGTCCAGCATAGCATATGGACTGCATTGTCACTCTCTTTATTACACTTAAATTCTTTACATAAGCTGCTAGTTCACTTGGTCGTCACATACATGCTACAATTTTTTTTTTCATTGATCATGTCAAACCAAAGTTTGTTTGTTGAGGTCAGTGGTTTTCAACCACAAGGGTACCAGTAGAAGCATAATTATGAAATTTATGAGCCATTAATATCACGTAACATCCAATCCAGTAGATGAATTGCTTTGCTAATGCAATTGTAATCTGCTGCAGTCATCAAAGGAAAAAAGGGTCTGACATTAAGATTATGGAAAGCAACTGGAAGACGTGATTAAAATAATTGTTCTATGAGTTCATACCCCAATTTCGTAGCTCTTGCTGGTGTCTCATAGTTCTGTTGCTGTGGCTGGCTTAGCTGAAGATGGACAGGTGCATGGGATTCCTCAGCACTGCCAAGGCCATTGGAGCTAAGGTAATCTCTGTTTACTCCATTGACATTCCCTGTTCCATAAACCTGAAATATGCCAATTTTATGATCAGAACGGAATCTAAAAATGCTCTTTGTCTTATGTAATACTTAGGGTTGATTTTTTGGTTCATTTTTCCCTGGATTAATTGAAGATTTCATTATTTATGCAAATCTCTACCTTCTTATGCAATGCTGTGTTTTCTCGACAAATTAGGTTTACCTTCTTATAGAGTTCCACATTTTCTTGGTGAATGAGGTTTCCCTGCAAAAACAATAAAGTTAGGTTTGGCCACTTGAACTTGGAAATTTTGAAGTAAGACAATCGTTCCTGGTTTTGTGGGTTCACCTTTCTGTTTAAGTCTTCTATTTCATCCATTAAAATTTGGTCCTAAAGATGTCAGAAATTGATATCAGTGGCATGCATAATTATTTCGTGTGCCTAATATGTACATGTTCTAAAATTTTAAGGCAGAAAATTGGGAGAAGACCTCCGCACCTTTTTCATTCGAACACCCCTGAGACTCATTTCCAGTCGACTCTCCAAATTTTGTAACTCCTTTATGTTCAATCCAGTTAGCTCTTCACCCATCATTTGCCTGTTATTGTTGCAACAAATGCAGCGTTTGGAAACTTTGCCTTAATTTTACATGTTGTTAAGTATCCACAATGGGAAGCAATCAACAATTTCTTCTAATTGTAATAACTGGTCCTAGTGTGAATATGTAGCTGTTGAGATAATTAGGACCTGCTGAATGCTTCATTTTCTGATTAAAATATTTGTTTTGATGAATACTTAAACATTGTACACTGCAAATTTTGTATGAGTGAAAGTAGTTGCTATGGTTCTTTGTTATATAATTGTTTGTGGTTGATCTTGCGCGAAATTTATCAATCTTCCTCCCAGTTAGTGAAATTATTATCACTTTTCTATCTAGTTTTAGAATTCATTGATAGTTACTGAAAATGTTTAGTAGGTTATAAATGTCTGTTCTTTGTGCATTTGATGGGTTAGAATATTTCATGTGTAAAAGTAATTGCATACCTGTCATTTCCAAAGCTAGATTGAAGGTCCTGATGAAACTACGCTAAACTACCAGGAAGATCCATTAGATGTATCTGTAGTCTTAATTTTGTTCAGCGTAATAACTGACTGCACTGATTTATGATGGCACAATAAAAAATTGTTCTAGAATACATAGTTTTATTAGTTTTGGAATCTAAATACTTGCAATGTGAACTTTATGGGTGTTGCTGAAGGTATTTGTTGAAGGTGTTGAAAGACGCTAGACTGATACAGCAACAAGTCAATCATTTACACGTTAGTCCATTACAACGAAAGAATTTGGAAAGAAGATAATTATGTAAGTTTTCTTCAAGACTTTGACTAATATTGATTCATATCCACTGTCTCAAGGTTATGGCTTCCTAAATGACACTGTTTTGTTGAATTCTTGTGCTCTATTTAATTTGGATAACTTGAGTGTTTGATAATACCCTTTTTTCTTCTTCTTCTTCTTCTTTGCTTCCTGATGATGGGAGAAATGATGTGAAGGTTCCTAAATGGTACAGTTTGTGTATTTTTGTGTTAAAGGGGACATTGTTTTTTTTTTTTTAATTTTTATTTTTATTGTAATTAACATGGGTCAAAGAAGTTAGGGTTTGTGTTTACAAATTTGCAAAATGAGTAGTAGTCACAATTATCAGGATAATTGATACTTGCATGAATGGTTGAATAAGCATTCATTAACAACTTATGTTGAAATGTTAAGATGTCAGTTAGAATCAATAAACAGAGAATAAAAGAACGTTTCATTAAACAAATACCTACTTTATAGAACTCATCAATGTAGCACAATAAAGTTTCTGTTTGCATGAATATTATGAACTTGAATTATCATTATCTATGTCTAAATATATAAGTGCAGTGGACAGATATATTAAGCCTCTTTAAACTTGACATGTAGGAATTGCATCATTCTATAATTTGCAAGGGTGGCATATCACAATTTGCAGTGAGTTTTCATCCTCCTTTTTGTATTTTATGTTCTCTTTTACATCTGCCTTTATTATCTTGGTTTTCTCAAATGTGCTAGGGAGAAAAGTTTTATATTGAGTAAAGTTTTATATTGAGTACCACAAAAAGGAAGAAGCTGAGAAAATATTTCTCAAGGAAATGGCATAGAAACTAGTTCTCATTTTTCCCTCTCTTTTATGTTATGATTTTGTAATTGAAATGAGTCATTTATGAGTGATTTCTTTGTTCATACATTCATAGATATATGAAATTCTGACTGTGTAATAATTGTTTCTTTTTCCTTTCTCTTATCCAACCAAATACACTAGTTGTTGCCTTCTTGTAGTTTGTGTCAGTTCTGCATTTCTGTTATAGCTTAGCATTTACAATAAATTAAATATGAATGCTTTATTTATTTTCTCTAGTCATTTGTAGATTATGCTTTATTTATTTTCTCTAGTTTGTTCATACTTCAAGTGTTGTTGATTTGTATAGGATAACATATTTGATTACACTTCACGGAGCAAAATATGCAGTATAATCTGATTTAGACAAATGTTAAATGCATAAATAACAAAGTTGGTTGTAACAAATACTAAAACTTGCAAGTTCCATATGTTTTCAATGTACTTTCTTTGTCTTACCTGCAATTCATCCATAATTATCCATTGCAGGTTTGGGGTGATGCTTGTAAACTAAATTACACTTGCATCATGATACAACTGAAAAGTGCCTGAATACTTCTCTAAGAAAAATATTATTTTATAAGTAAGTACATTGTTATCAGAGGATGAAAAACTCACTTCTCCCTGGTGAGGGGTGGGAGTTTGAGGAAATGGGAATAGGGAGAAGGCCAGTAGCTGCCTGGTCCCATTTCGCATGATGAACATGCTTGGCATGCCTCAAGAGACATGGGATCACATGGAGACAAGTGATGTCTGCAGGTATTTGACTATAAATAATAACACAACTCACCTATCAAAAGTTTCCAATTACTTGTTTTTGCTCAATTTCACTCTTTTCAGGACCATGAAAAATTAATATTCAAGGAAAAGATCATACCGATGATTTTCTTGTAAGTTCTGCAGTTGTTGCCTCAACATTGCTGCCTCCCTTTGCCAGAACTAGTAAAAAAAAAAAAATGCAAAGTTTATCAACATATCACCTATTCTGCAATTACCAAAAGCTGAATATCATAAACTTTTTCATTTCAGTTTCTGTTACACTCCTATTTATTTGTTAGTGGTTGATTTTTTGACATAACTTGCTTCTGATTTTGCAATATCCAGTGACCACATGATAGATAACGTAACAGTTATGGGATGTATGAGATTTGCAAAATAATTTGATGAAAGTGTCACAAAAGAGCATTTCTCAATGGGAAGTAACTGAACTGTTTCTTAGTAGTAAGCCTTAATTTATGATAACTCGGCCCATCTCATTGAAATGACTTTATCTATGAAAAAGTGGTCACCAACCCGTTAACAGAGGAGGTTTGTGGTGTTAGAGCGGCAACATAAAGCATGTAGGTACATGTTATGAAATTGAACAGTAACAGAAAGGCCTTTTTTTGTTCTAAGTTGACATTATATTTTGAATACAAATAAGGTGGTCATTGTCTATGCTATGATAATGTTAAAACAGATAGGACACAGATGCTGTCTTCTCAACATGGTGGAAGCTAGGGTAGTTGTGTTTAATATTGTTTTGCCAAGGGCTTCTTGAATTGAAAATTGTTGTTACTTTGTGTATGTTGTTTCTATCAGTAAGCAGTTTGCTTAAGGAAAATGACAAAGTTCAACTTGTTCTTTGTGTCATATAGCTAGGTGCACAAAAGATTTAGACTCAAGAAGACCAGAAACATGTAAGTTATGGTTATGGATGAATACAGTGTAAAAATGAAGTCTTACCATGTATAAGATTCAAGTAAATGTAGTAACAAAGAAATCTGAGGACTGGGTACTGAAATACCTTCACTTCAGAGATTGGGTTTCCCATCTGATGATTTTCTTCTTTTGATTTGTTGTATCTTTCGATTACTGATTTCATGCTGTAAGAGGAGATTTGAATTTTATCAGATAGAATAGTCGTGCTTTTGTTAACACAATATAACATCTAGGAATAAAATGTCACTGATCACCATATGCATAACTGCACAGGATGGTAACGTACATGTTCTGTCACATTATGTCTATTGAAGCAGTAACTGGGAGATCATTGCCTAGTTCTTAGATATTAAATAAATGCAAGCTCGAATATATGTTCTGTATTTAATCTAGCTGACTCGGATTTTGATGTTGGTTGATAAAGTTGATTATTTTCATACCCCCTGTTTTGTGCTAATAATAGGACATTCACTTAGCAGGAATTGAAATATAGCATGAGTGCTAAATTGATTGCTTTTTCTCTACATTATTGCAGTTTTCCTCTTCATCTTCTTCTATGAGAAAAGTGTTATCATATATTATTTGCAATCATTGACGTTGTAGATCTTCAATGCACATTATGCTTTTTCAAAAATTTCTTAACCAAATCATATGCAGTTTATGGCCTTGCTCAAATATTTCCATCCATCATGTGGGAATGTGACATTTCTAGACATAGGCTCATTAGCTATAAAAGTTAATGGGTCAGGTATTCCCATAAACTGTAAATGGTTATTTGGTGTTATTTTCATTTGGAATAATCTTGACCATGCAACCATGCTGGATGATCTTCATTTCTTTTTTTTTTTTTTTCCTTTTTTTTTTTTACAGGTTAAGCAGTTTGCTTAAGGGAAAATGACAAAGTTCTTTCACTTGTTCTCTTGTGTATATAGCTAGGCTGCAGCAAAACGTTCTTTTTAGGACTCGCAAGAAAGACCAGGAAACATGTTAAGTTAATGGTTATGGTGAATACAGTTGTAAAATTGAAGTCCGTTACCATGTTATAAGATTCAAAGTAAATGTAGTAACCAGCCAAATGAAATCTAGAGGATCTGGGGTACTTGAATACCTTCACTTCAGAGATTGGGTTTTCCCATCTTGATGATTTGTATCCTTTCCTTTATTGAATGTTGGATATACTTTGGTCTGATTTCAAATCGGTCGGCCGTAATAATTAATGGATTTCATAGCTCAATGTAAATAAAGTGACGAAGTATGAATGTGTTATTTTAAGAGGAGGATTTTGAATTAATTTTTATCAGAATAGAATAGTCGTTGCTTTTGGTTAAGCGACAACATATAAACAAACTCTAGGAATTCTTAAATAATTTAAAAATAAAAAGTTCATACTGATCACCATATGCATAAACTGATCACCAGGATGATCGGTGAAACGGTTTAACCAATGTTTCTGTCACATTATGTCTTATTGAAGCAGAGTAACTGGGAGATCATCTTGCCTAGCTTTCTTAGAAATATTAAAATAAATGCAAAGCTTCGAATATTATGTTCTTGTATTTAATCTAAGCTGACTCGGATTTTGATGTTGTTTGATTTATTTTGATTTTATTTAATTATTAATAAAGTTGATTATTTTTTTCATACCCCCTGTTTTGTGCTAAATCTAATAACTAGGACAATTTTCACTTAGCAGGAATTATTGAAAATTGTATAGCATGAGTTTGCTAAATTGATTGCTTTTTGTCTTCCAACATTATTGCAGTTTTCCTCTTATCTTCTCTTCTATTGAGAAAAGTGTTATTCATTATATTTATTTGCAATCATTGACGCTTTGTTAGAATTCTTTCCAATGCCACATTATGCTTTTTCAAAAATTTCTTTTTTTTAACCAAATTCATTATGCACGTTTTATGGCCTTGCCAAATATTTTCCCATCCATTCATGTGGGAAATGGTGACATTTCTAGAACAAGGCTTCATTCCCCAAAATTTTTTCAAAAATTAGCTATAAAAAAGTTAATGGTTCACGGCTTTATTTCCCATTAAACTGTAAATGGTTATTTGCGGTTATTTTTCATTTGGAATAAAATTCCTTGACCATGCAAACCCATGCTGGATGATCTTCCATTTCTTTTTTTTAAATTTTTTTTTTCCTTTTTTCCTTTGTTTTTTTTTCTTTTTTTTGGGGGCGGGTAGGTGGGGTTTGGGGAGGGATTTATAAACATTACATAGGTAAGTAATTTAAGTTTCCTTTAGAAAGCTGGTATCTTGGTAAGGAGTTTGAAATGAGTGGAATTATTTTCATAATGAAGATGGGCGGCTGGGGGAGGGGGTGAGTGGGCTGTAATTTGTATTTTTAAGGGACACAGGACAAGGAGTACAAATGGTTAAATCTTGCTGAATGGGCAGGAAAGAAAAAAAGAAATTTAATCTGGGCACTTGGACTTAGTGGAAAGAAAACATTTCTTCGGAAAACTACTTAATGATGGAGTTACATGGAAAATAATGAACAAGGTTAGTTCTTTTTCTAGTAAACAACAGTTCCAGCAAGTATATAGTATTTTGACCAGTTCCCTAGATTATACTTCTTTAAGGGGTCATACCGTGAGCTTTCTCAAAAGTTTTAGAAAAAAAGTAGGGCGTTTATTCCAGAGAATTAGGGCTTGCTTGTTGTTTCCAAAGTGTTGCCCTTCTCTCTGCAAAAGGTTTGGGGAGATAATGAGAATATGTGGGACAATGGGAATGAGGCAGGTCATTAGGGGATGAATGATGGTTTACTTTGTGTTCTTAATTACCTCTGATTCCCTATGGGCTAGTGGCTTTTCATAGGTTATCCATTGGTTCAAGGAGTTCCATGGACTGTGAAAGCGGATTAGATGTGGCAAAAGTAAATTGGATGGTTACAACATGAATGCGTATTTTTGGTGTATGAACAACCAGCTTCTTTATTTTGCTAGGCAACAGTTTAGGCCTATTGATTTTGGAACCTTAAAGTGGGTGAAGGACACAAAGACCGATCTATGATCTATCTAGTTCTGGAAATTTTTTTTTTTTTTTTTCCTTTTTTTTTTTGGTGGGGCGGGGTGGGGTTTGGGGGAGGGATTTATAACATACATAGGTAAGTAAGTTTCCTTAGAAAGCTGTATCTTGTAGGAGTTTGAATGAGATGGATTATTTTCATAATGAAGATTGGGGGTGGGGGGAGGGGGGAGTGGGGTGTATTTAAGACACAGGACAAGAGTACAAGGTAATTGCTGAATGGCAGAAAGAAAAAAGAAATAATCTGGCACTTGACTTAGTGGAAAGAACATCTTCGGAACTACTTAATGATGGAGTTAATGAACAAGTTTAGTTACTTTTCTAGTAAACAACAGTATTTGACCATTCCTAGTATACTTCTTAAGGGTCATACCGGAGCTCTCAAAGTTAGAAAAAGTAGGCTTATTTCCAGAGATTAGGGCTTGTCCAAGTGTTGCCTCTCTCTGCAAAGGTTTGGATAATGAGAATATGTGGGACAATGGATGAGGCAGTCATAGGGATGAATGATGGTTTACTTTGTGTTCTAATACCTCTGATTCCCTTGCTAGTGGCTTTTCATAGTTATCATTGGTTCAAGAGTCCATGACTGTGAAGATGGCAAAGTAATTGGAGGTACATGAATGCTATTTTGGTATTGACAAACCGCTCTTATTGCTAGCAACAGTTTAGCCTATTGATTTGACTAAAGTGGTGAGGACACAAATGACGATCTATGATCTATCTAGTCTGAAATTTGTTGCAGCTGATGCATGGCAAGGTATTCTTAAACACTCACCATATATTTTATTACGAATTTCCAGAACCCTCCCACAGATGAAAAAAGAAAGACACTCAAGCTCATCTAGTTTGTTGATCATATTCCTATCTATAAGTATGCCTTACTACATCATCAAAAACTCCTAGCCTAATGAAGCTCCCGCTATGCTAAGGGTCTGACCATGAAGGTCACAAGGCGGCAACTCTACTGTTGCACCAAGGATCCCCTTCCAGTTCCTACTTTCTAATGCTCCAAAAATTTTTTTAAAACGAAAAAAAGCAGATTAAATACTAATATGGAACCCAGAAACAGGCTGACCAGATGCTACCTAAAGATATAGTGAATTGAAGACTTGATTGCTCAGATCACTTTGGAACAAGAAATGAGGCCAGGTAACAACTCTTTAATATCTAAGTATTCAATGCTGAGTTGAAATTATCAATTTTGAGAGGATGGTAGATTTCAATCCTGAGTAAATTCTTTTTTGAAGAATCCGTTTTGTTTTGTTTCTTTCTTTCTCTCGTCTTTGGGATGAATCTTTTTCTATTTGTTACATCAACTTCTGCATTATTTCTGTTAGTGACTTCTCTCATGATTTTTCAACTGCACTTCTAATTATGCCATAATTAGAAGTTTTCTTTTAACACCATACACAATGATGGCCATTTAATGTATCTGCTCCTGATAAATAGATGAGTGATTAGAGGATGTTAATTTCTCCTATACATCATGCCTGAATATTTCAGTAAGCTATCAATCAAGGGAGTATAGATTCTATACCTATAACCATCAACAGTAAGGTGTAAATAGTTCACATAATTTTTATCGATAAATGCCTTTTTATCTTCATTCAGCTTCTAAGAGGCAAGGATGTCAACAGAATGGCTCTATCTTCCTTACTGATTATACCCAGAAAATGTTAGAAACAATGTGAGAAATTTATTCTCTCTGTTCATTCAGTTATTAACATTTTTATTTCTAAAGAGTGAAGCCCTTAGGATGCCATCTATTTTTCTCTTTAACATATTCTAGAGAAAGAACTATCCAAGACAAGCTTATGTTATTTGTTATGATGAAGTAACATCCTTCAGTCAATTTGTATAGGCTGTGACTGAACAATATTAGAGTAGATTGCTACAAGGGTTGATCCAAAATAAAGAATAGCATAAAATTTATATTAAAATAAAGAATAGCATATTTACCTTAAAGATTAAAATGTATATACACTATACATTATAATATATCATACTAATTGTATCTTTAATGGTAATTTTACATTTTAATAACAAGTGTTGTCAAAATTTTATCAAATATCAATATTTATTAGCTAATCTTACGAAGGTTAAACTAAACGGAACAGACCCTTAAAAGAATAAGAGATACTTATTTTCAAGCTTTGAATTTATTACCTTATCTGTAAATGAGAGAAAAGTTGAAGGCTTTTAAAATAAAGAATAACATATTCACCTCAAACGCAGAAGTCTTTGAACTTTGGACAAGCCTTATGCCTTAAACTCTAAACTTTAAACCATAAACCAAGTAGAAGGAAATTAAGGGGAAGTAAGTTGGGTGGAACAAACTAAGTTTTGAATTTAACTTGAATGAAAAAATTTTCTTCTCATATTTTTTTCTTTATTATTATTTTTTTTTTGTGAATGTTAACATTTTTTTTTTGAGTATTGAAGAGAAAGATTCGAACCTGAGTCTATTGTTAGATTGTAAGTCTATTAATACAACATCATTTTGGTAAAGTACATAATAC